TTGGTATCAACATGTAGGATGAATGTTAGTTATTAATGTTTTGATAGTGATGGAGAAATCCAATGTCATCAGTGGCATTTGTTCCTTTAGAGTGTGTGTTCCAAATAATATGGTGTAATCCAAGCAAGTGATGTTCACATGAAGAATCCTGATATGTCCAGTGTGTGTGATACAGTCTGTTCTGCTCACAAATAAATGGAGCAGTGCCTCAGTTGGTTAATAGTGGCTTAACTCCCTTTGAATTGAGTGAATTTATGTAGGTTTTTGTCTGCTAACCTTGCTCCCACATTCTTTTCATTGTTAGGCTTGCTTCTGTCAACTGCAGAAGCTACAGAGATTTGAGGCTTTTTTGGCAGTATCTTGTATCTAGTAGAGAACTGGAAGTAAATTTCCTCTGTTCCCAACTGCATATGCTTACTGTGATTCCAGAAGTGATATAGGGAGTAAGAAGTGCAGATTTAAATATCTTGTGTGCTGAAGGCTCCTATTCTCAGAAAAATATAAGGTGTAAGGTGCTTGGTTTACAACAGTTGATTTAATGGATGTTGTTAACCCTTAGTGCAATTACATTGTTCAAGCTGTATTTGACTGCAATCTTCTGGGATATTTGCTAACTTTCAGTTTGAGAGGGAATTCCAAATTTAAAAGCTAATAAAAAAGGGCACCAACTATCACTTTTATCTTCACATGGAAACATACTGGCACAAAAAAAAAAATCCTAAAATTAATTAATTTGTAATCTGTCTTATAGACTCTTTGCTTAGATTTCTAGTGTCCTTGGAGTGTTAAAATATCAAAGTTTGCCCATGAGTCAGAACTCGTGTGATGAGTAAATGCCTAACTATGGGACCATTTTGGGGCCAGGGGTGTGTGAAGAGAATACTGAAAAACCACATTCAGCAAGAACAAGAGTGCGTGTGTTGGCTATAATTCACCAGGGCCAAATTCCTGCACACCTTAGGAGCAGGAACCCTCAAGGAGCTTGTTGTAAGGGGGACATGAAACAAAGGCTGGAGTGGCATGGAGGTGTTGGGGTCATGCTCCGTCGAAGACCATGCAGCTGATGGAAACTGAGCCAAGGGAATGATCCAAATGGTGACCGAAAACTGAACTGTGCTTCATTAACTCAAAAATACATATTACCTTTCACAACACCACGTATGCTAATGGCTAAAGTCACTCAAACTCTACCTAAATATGATATTACATCAACTGTAACTTTACCTTTTCCCCTCCTTCAAAGAAAACTATATATTTATAGCTTAAGTGAGGAGATTCCACCTTTGTGTCCTGAGATAGTTGAGCTGATAGCAGGTCAGAACCTGCTACAGAACCTATCCTTCCCCCCACAGGGTTGCCTATTGGGTAAGACTTGAACACTTGGCTATATCAAGTGCTTCTTCAGAAAATTCAGAGAGCAAAATTGTGTTTGTGACCGTACTTTTAGAGCTATATAGTCATATCACAATTTCATGTATTTGTCACTGGCTGCATTATTCATACTTTAGGTATTCACATGTGCTTCTGCAGACAGTGTATTTATCACTGACAATCCAATATCACAGATGTGACCCTGCATGTTTGTTGCTCAATAAACTACATTGTTTTGTATCTGGCTGTGAGACTTATTGAACAGGACTGGACTTCTAGGTCAGCCTTGAGGGTTCATTGGGCACGACTAGACTGTTAGTGAATTTGAAAATCTGGTAGTTCTTATTGAAGATTATTGGAATTACAGTGCCACGTTGGCCCTGCATTTCTGTTCCGTAGTGTTGCATTGGCTGTCACTCAGAATAAGCTCAGCCTCCCCTAACGCCTCTGATACCTAAGGCCAGTTGGAATGCAAGAGGGTTTATTTTCTGCCAAATTTAACGCAACAGAAAAATTTACCTTAGTACAACAAGGTGTCAGAACTGATCCAGTAGCACAAAGTCTCACTTCCCTGGGGAGGTAGTCAGTCTGTGCCCAGGTGTGGAGCCAAATTAGACAAAAGGTAAAATCCAAAATATGCAGCAGGGAGAATGTTAAATGCCAGGTTAAGTCCATGTGGTCTCCACATGAATATAGGACAGGAGGTTAGCCTGGTTTGCCAGGGTGATCCTTGTCTTAGTGCTCCTGAAGGTAAACTGCTTTGACATCAGCATTTAGAGTTTATAATTCTTCTTTCCTCACTGACTGAGAGTTCTGTAGCAACTCCTTCGACCACCCAAAAAAGCTTTCTGTCAAGCAATGTACGACTTCTAGTAGCTATAAAACAACACAGAAAACATGCTGATAAGTCCCAATGTTGAAATCTGTCGTGCCAAAGACATGTCACTGGTATGTTGCACAGAAATGTTACTCTGCCAACAAATGCTATTCCTCCCACCCCAACTGCCATGTGACTCATTATTTGAATAACAACTTTACATTGCTGTACCTAAGCAAACATAAAGGAAAACATCCTAATATCTTGTAATACTTGTTTGTCATCAGTTATGAGCGTGAATAAATGGGTGTGTTACGCTAATAAGAGAGGGCAGCTACCCTGCAGCATTTTAAGTGGTTTTCTGATGCCCTAAAGATGTCATGCAGGTCCTCCTGTGGAGTAAACCATGCCAACACCATTGTTACTTCTGCAGTGTTTTGTTCTTTCCACCCAGTCTCTTGGGTATTCTACTCATCACAGGAAATGGCTGAAAATGCTGTACATTCACTGACAAATACTTGTGGTTTGGTTTAGAGGCTGGGCCAACTACTTCTAAAAATATGTTCCTTTTTTCCAAAGAAAGCGAGCTAGGGCTGCTGCTCTTTCCTTTTCAGAAGCCCCTCCACCCTTCCACATTCCAACCTCCCCTGTGTTGTTAGGTGTGGTTTGCGGGCAGCTTTGTATTGTTTGGGTAATGCACTGAATGCTCATTTACTTAATGCCTGCTGTTTGCCCGTGTGGGGGGTTTCTTCCTACCTCAGCATGTATAAGCTGTTTGAGGTAGTAAAATCAGAGCCATGAGAACTTCCACATAGGAAAATGCAGAAGAGGAACTTTATGCAGGTAATTTTCAGAGACAAGAATGCATTGTCCCCCACCAGCAAACTGTCTGAATACAAGGGGCTTAAAAGGTCTATGTATGCAAAGTAATTTCCAAGGGGGTGGTTTCATAAGGAATTAATTGCTGCCAGTGGTTCATACGCTCACTGTGATAACTGAGCCAGTTTTCCCAAGGCAAATTCACAGGTAAGATTTTATATTCTCTATCATCTACCTGTTCTAGAGACGTTCCCTTGGAGTCCAGCCCCTTTGGGTTGTATCCATTTGCTCACACACTATTCCAAAGGTCATTAAGAGATAACCAACTCTGAATTACTGTGAGCAAGAGCAGCTGCATAGCCATAGATTCAATTTTACACATTGCTGATATGAACTTTATTCCAGGTAAATAGTCTGTCAAAACCAAGCTAGTGAATAAATTATTTTCCACGTTAGATGAAAGGCTTGTCCACAAACACAGGGAGATTACAGCATTCAGTTGCCTTCTCAGTGACAACTTAAAAGATCATAGTCACTCCGGATTATGCCACTACAGTGTACACTGTGGCCAGCCAGAGCTTCAAGGTCAGAACCTGCTACAGAAGTACACTCCTCACCGTGACGTTCTGACAAAATTTCCTTTGACCTTTAACACTGCTGGCGAGGAATAGTGATTTCTGATGGTTTGGGAGCAATATGAATGAAGAACTATTCCAATTAAGGCTGTGCTGGGACGTGGCTGGCAGATCACCTTGCTAGCTGTGGGCAGAAGTGAGCCCACGAAGGCTCCCCCGGCTGATACACCCAGAGAGAACTGTTGATGTGTCATCCCATCCAACCTGGCACTGGAGGGTCGAGAGCTGTCATCCCCTGCCTCTCGCAGTATCGGGGAGCTCACCCTTTCTTCATTTCTGCAATACATGTCTCGAGGCTCCTGAGCACAGTACTGTTATTTGTAATCAGAGATTTTTATCGCAAATAGCCCGTTTTTCTGCTCGTTAGGCAGACGCACCGCCCAAGTTCCCAGCAGCAGAGGGCAGCAATATAAACCCTGCCAAACAGGACGTTTTCATGCTTTATGAAATACAAACCTCTTCACATGCTCATTCAGTTTGTTTACATTATATTTTTGTTCAAATATGAAGAAGCTGTTCATTCTTTCCTCCTTCTCTCCCTGTGGCTCCGTGCATAGGCTCTCATATGATTATAACTTCTTGATGCCGCAGATGGAGCACAAGATGTTGATGACTCCCTGGCTTCTCTCCCTGGGCTACAGAACCGACGCTGTGGCTGGCAACGCACCACAACTGCTGCTCCTTTTGTTTCTAGCTGATTTTCCCATAATTACCTGAACACACGCTGTAGACTTTGTGCCTCAACCAGTACTACAGTGGAAACGGGCTTTGTTTCCTAAGTTTTCGTCGGTTTTTGTCTTTGTTTTTGTTTTCTCAAAATGTCACTTCGTGCATCCAAATGAATTCCCGGTCGCACTACTTTGTGATGAGCTGGGGTCGTTTCGCGCACGTGTAGCTGCTGCTATACGAGGCATTCAAAGGCATCATCAAGAGCCTTGCCCACGTGCTGGCGCGGATCGCCCGGGGCTTGTCGCCCGCGGTGGTCGGTGACTCTCGCAGCTCCAAGCCCCGCAGAACGCGACACTGTGAGAAACTCAGCTGTTCCTCTTCTGGTGCATTCTACTCTTGCTAAAAATAGCAGAATGCGGGTGCTCACCTGGCGCCCGTGGCCGCGGCCGCCGCGCGTGGGGACAGCCCGTCCGCGGCGCTCAGCCCCGGGCAGGGCCGGCCCCGCTCCGCGGTCCTTCGCCGAGGGCTCGGCTGCCGGCGGGGCGGGCCGGCTGCCTTACATAACACCGCCCGCCGGGCCGGGCCGCGCCGGCGAGGGCGGGCCCTCCGCGCCGCCCCGCGCAGCCCCCGGAGCCGCGGGGCCGGTGCCGGGCGGCCCCGCCGAGCCTGAGCGAGCGCCCGAGCGTCCGCAGCGCGGCGGGGGAGAAGGAGGCACCGCGGCCCCTGGGGCTGCCCGCGGGGGAAGCGGCGGCCGTGCCGCGGCGGTGAGTGGGACGGGGCCTACGGCGCTGCCGGGGCGCTGCTGCGCGGGGCCTGTTGCCCGTGCTCGGGGGGCTGCGGGGGGGAGTAGAGGCGGGACTGCGGCGCTTTGGGACTGCAGCGCCCGGGGACTGCGGCGCTTTGGGACTGCGGCGTTCCGTCCCGTCAGTCCCGTCCCGTCAGTCCCGTCCCGTCCCGTCCATTCCCGTGCCTTCCCGCCGGGAGCGAGCGCGGCTCGGCTGGCCGGGCTCGCTGACAGCCCGCCCGGCTCCAGACCCGCCTCCTGTTGCTCGGTTCTCCCTCTGGCCCGGGACGGCGCGGCGGGGCCAAAAGGGATCCCGGTCCCCGCTCGGCCCCCCGGGGAACAGGGGCCGCCGGAGCCGCAGAGCGGGAGCGGCGGCAGGGCTTGTCCTTGCCAGGACAGCTCCCTGGGTAGTCCGAGACCTCTCTATCTACTCCTGATACAAGCAATAGCGTATGCTGCAGTTACTGCAGCTATCTCCCTAAATAATATAAGCTAAACGGGTAAAGCCTTTTATTTAGCTTCTTTTAAAAAAGAATCGCAGCTGCCAACAATCTGCCAACTTCGTTCAGCGTTCAGCTGCAATTCTGCAACTTTTTCTCCCCAGACAGATATCGGGCTCTTGCCAAAGCTGATTGCTCAGCGTTACTCTCACGTTTCTTCATCTCTAGGTCCCCATTGCCAGGACGCTACTGCGGTTTGCAAGGTCCCTGTTCTTCTTCTCCCTTCCTGCCTCTCCACCCTTAAAATCTGTTACACATATCCTATCTTGTCTCTGATTCCCCTTAAGCGAGTCTGACCTTGTCACATGTTTTTTTCCTAAACTGTCAGAAAGTTTCCCAGTTTCCTAGTATAAGGCCCTCTACCCTCATTCTTAGATTCTGTGCGTCTTCTCTACGTAAAGTCCCCCCGCCCCTTTGGTTTCTCATGCACTTGTTTCTGCCATTTCTTTATTCCCAAATCCCTATTGGTTTGGCTTGTGTGAGTCCAGGAAAATTTTATTCTTAGAAATAGGTCTATTCAAATAGGTTAACAGATTGAAAACTGCAGGAATTATGCATGTATATGATGACTAATTGTGAAAATGATAGTTGCAAGACTGCTTTATTTTGCAAGTTAATCAGACCAGGATGCCTGCCTTCTTCTTTGCCTCAAATGTAAGTCTGGCTATCTTGAATCATTAATGAAAAATCATATCACTATGCCACTCTTACTAGTTCCTTGCTGGTACTTTTGGATGTTACTTTTAAGCTGTTGGCATGCTGTGTGCAGTTTGAAAATCTTTGTACGCAGTGCTTGTTTTCTGGGGAAAGAATTTAAAAAATGCCACAAAACTTTAAAAGCTGATTGGTTGCCTTCAAATGTTTTCTTTGTTTTCCTCAAAATATCTCAAACCTGATGTTGAAACGCACATCAGCTTGGCACAGTCTCTGTGGCTGCCAAGTGTGTGAGCCAGTTGGATCTCAAGGAAATGTAGCTTAATGCAATCAGTCCCATGGCGACTTTTTTTTTCCACAAGAAACAAACATCTTTTGGTGAGTCACAGCAATATTGTTCCCTACAAATAAGCTGTCAGGAAATAGAGTCTGACAAAGCTGATGGTCTGTCTATAAAACCAGCTTTCCCTTACACCCAGTGCTGCTTTCACATTGTTTGTGAATCATCAGATCCAGAGTCCTCTCAAATTTCCAAGGAAGGCAGAATTAGCTACCATTCAGGGTGTGGTACTTACCTTTCTTCTGTCTTCCTTCTGATAGTTTCAATTCTCTCCTTCAGACATGTATTTCACTGCTTCTTCTTGCTCTCTCATCTTAGTCAAGACTTCTATCATGCTTCCAAGTCTGTTACTGGTGCCAAGGCCCTCTGTGTGGCTTTTGTGCACTAACCTCATTAGAAAGAGTGTCTAGCTTTTCCTTGGGAGTAAGCCATTTTTTGTGCTCCTCCAATTATCTGTGGCTTGCAAATCATCATAAAAGCTGTCGTGTACACTTGTGGATGCTTAGCCTCAGAATGTGGCTGTACCTGCATCCACATGACTTTGGAGAGCAATTCCACTGCCTGAAGGGATGCTACACACCTGCAGAGATCAAAATGATAACTAGCTTCTGTTGGAAACAAGGTTTTTGCCATTCCTTAATATATGTATACACAAGTGTTTGTCCCTTAAATAATATTTTATCGCCATTTCCCAGTTTCACACCAAGTGTGACAGAAGAAGAACAGCTCCAAGGTAATTAAGTTCCTGCAAATTTTGTAGAAACAGGCCAGCCAGGAAAAAGCAAGTCTAAAATCAGACACTTGGCGGTTTTCCCCAGGTTTTAGCTCAGTGACTGAGTGATATGTTCATATGTGACAACCTCTATTTGGCAATAAGATATTGAGTGTAAATGAAGCTGTAAAGAGAAAGGAAAAAGGATTCTCTGGGCAAATGCCCCTGAACTGGCATCTCCCTTAAAACTTCAAAGAACACAAATAACTCTGATTCGATACATTGTGTTTTGAACATGGAAACAGAAAATCTTTGTACAGTTCACTGTAAACTTTTAATCAAGCAAAGAACACAGTTCTGTAGGAGATCTGATTTCCTGAGTTCTGCTGGTCACAAAGTGCTTTGTTTTTATGTCCCTGCATCTCCAGGGCACAACTCCTGTCTTTGTTCTGCCAGGCACGCGTTTGCACAAGTACACCAAGTACAGACGGGCTGTGATCTCAGTTAGTGTCTTTAGATCTATTTCATTTTGACAGAATTGGCCAACAGTTTCAAGACTTACTGAATTCCATCATGTAAGCGTAATTCCCTTGAAACCAAGCAAAAGCAATGATCATTCATCCTGACTGAGAATAATGTATTCCTTGACATGGCTGGTAGGACAAATCCCAGATCATTTGTAGCAGTGACAAGACACTGGATCTTGTTTTGGATTATTGTTTTATTTTGTTTTTTAACTGTTTGTCCTTTTCAGCTGTAGATGGGGTTTTGTGATACTGTTTCAACCTGTCCTGGCAAGCTTGTTCTACCATATATACAGGTGCTATGACATCCTTAGAAAGAGTCCCTTTACAACTGGATTGGTTATGTCCATTTAGGGACTGTGGGCAAAATATGAATCCTGGTAATTCAGCCCTGTGCAAGGAAAAAGCCACATTGTTATAGGAACAATTCTTGAGCTCCAGGATTGTTAACAGAGGATATAACTGGCAAGGGAGTTTTTAACTTGGCACAGTTTCTATATGAAGGCAAAGGTATTAAGGCATCTGAAATCAACAGGAATAAATACCAGGTTCTAAACAAAATTTTGAGTCTGGCTGAAAATCTTCTTACTGTCTTTGGAGTTTAGGAAGCAGAATACTTTTATTCTTGAAGGAAAATATCTCTTAGGGTAGTGCTTACTAATGGTCAGTAATGTCTTAGCTTCTTCAAGCTATAGTTCTGTGAAATTAAAAAATCCAAACAGGTGTTCAGGGTCTCTTTTGATCATGCTAGTCTGCTCTGCAAACAACTGAATTGTAGGGTTTGTGTCTTCAGTTAATTCTGGTTAAAGTACTCTGAAATGACACGAGAAAAACTGAAAAGTATTTAAAATGTTTAAACTTCAAAACTGCACCCGATATTGATTAAAGTGATACATCCCAAGCTATACATTCTTGAATTTTGCTTAAGTTTTGGTCTGAAATATAATTCCATTGTCTGAGGCTGATATTGGCATATGCATTTAGGAAAGCAGACTTTTCTTGTAACAATACTTCCGTGATTAGCTGTAGTATTGTAAGCATCAACTTAAATACAGTTTTAGTTTTTGTTTGAAAATTTACTTTTCTTGTTTGTTCTCTATTGTTTGTTAAGGGCATAACTGACAGAATTTTAAAGAAATTGAGTCTTTTAAACTGAAAGTGGAGATCCTTACCTAAGGATCTCTCCTTACACACTCTTCTGTGGAGCTAGAGCTTGAAGTCAGTCTTTGCCTTCCACAAGAACTGATGGCTCTGCAACCTGCTGTCTGTTATGCATTGCTGTTGGATTCACTGCTTCACTGACTCAAAGTGGCATGAACTGTTGCTTACTGTGATATGTTCCTGTGTTGCTAATAATTGCATCACAGGATGGTACTGCCTGCATTACAAAAAAATTACTCAGAGTTGTGAGCCCTGGGGAATTTCATTTCAGGTATCTGAAGTGGCCCCACCTCAGTGCTGAGATAAGGACGGTAGGCCTGACAGGGAAGGGCCTTCTCACTGGCACCACATGACAGTTTAATAAATAATCTCTGATCTGTCTATGTACACAGCTTAATTGTATTCCAGTGAGAGTGCATTGACTTTAAAAAGGATGTGGAATAATTTGTTTCCCTTTAGCAGAACTGACTTTTCATGTTTGTTGTTACAAGCTTCTTTTCTATGTTTCACTTAATCAAAACACACGGGCTTGGTATGAAGTCCTCCATGTGAAAGGATTTCAAGAGAATTTCTGCTCTGACTGTAACAGGCTGAGGATTAAGGGGCAATTTCAGCCTTGGGATATCACTGAACAGGTGCACGATAAAACATACTCAAAGAAATTGAGAAACAGCAGGAAAGAGGGAGAACCAGGAGACTGTAATTTGAATTAAACTCGAGTATCAAGGTGTGGCTTTCTTGGTTTGCTCTTGATTAGTGTTTGTTTAGAAGTATTAAAAGGTGAAATAACTGCTGTTAGAGTTGTGTTATGCAGAAAGCCTTTTGGGAAACGTGACAGTAATATTTGGGAGCACAAGCTGAATGAGTGGCCCATGTGAGATAGCTTGTGCTGGGGGACTTACTGTTGTACTGTGCTGTCCTACTTATTAGATACACTGCCTGTCACCAGGGAATCCTAGAAACACTTTGCATGAGGCTATGTGCTGCTCCCCTTGCAGTTGATGATGATGATGATAACAATAAGAATAGAATAGATACTTCAGTTAGAAGGAACCTACAACATCACCTTGTTTAATTGCCTGACCAGTT